TACTTCAATTGTGTGCTTTCTCCCTTGACTAATTGAAGCTTTTAGTCGTACATTGATAACCTTCACTTGGAAATTTCTATTTAGTTTGCAAATTTGTATCATATTGCTTTTGGCCCCGGATTTTTTTCTATCTGCTCTCTAACTCATTGAGTTCACGTGGAATAAATATGTAGTGATCCAAATTTATATTGAATTAGGACCTGGTGGCTGTCAACATGGACTTGGGTTACTGGCAACTCACAGAGCTGGGCTCACTGGCCAGAAAAGGAGTATATTTATAAGGTAACTTATATATATAGATTATATATATATATGATATTATAATATATATATATATATAGATAGAGAGGGAGAGAGAGCGATGAGAGAGAGAGAGAGGGAGGAGAGAGAGAGAGAGAGAGAGAGAGAGAGAGAGAGACACAGAGAGAGAGACAGAGAGAGCCTTAGTAGTGCTCTTTCCTACTGAGACCAAAACCGCCTTAAACCGACCGGTTTATTTGCTCGGCGGCTCGAGTCGTCATTTGTCCAGACTAATAAAATATATACACATATTAAAATGACTGACTTAATAATACAAATCTAAATACCAAAGAAAAAACAGCACAAAAGAACGTGGTTTTTATTTAATATAACAATGACAAGGAAAACAAAAATAAAACAGTTACATGCACACACACAGAGAAGAACAGCAGCGTTCGTCCCATCTAACAAAAAAATGCACATATGCATCAGTTCATTCCCCCTCGTGGGAAACTGGAAACATTCTAACACTGAGAGCAACATGCAGACATGCGCCCATCAGTACGCATGAAAGAAAATTACTAAAGAGGGGAAAAACAAAATGGGATGGATAAAAGTGGTGGTGGACGAGCTCTCAAAGTTTACATAATGTATCTTGCTGGAATATGCAGCTGGAGAGAGAGAGAGAGAGAGAGAGAGAGAGAGAGAGAGAGAGAGAGAGAGAGAGAGAGAGTGAGTGACAGCTAGTGAGATATTCAAAGTGATTAAATAATGAGAGAGAGGAGAAAAGAGAAAATGACAGAGTAATGTATAAGAGGCAAAACAGGATTCACAGGGTGAGAGAGGGAAAACAAGAGAGCTTTAAGTACTGGATGGATCTGCAATGACACACACACACACATGCACAAACAGGACCTGGTAGCCTGGTGGATAGCGCGCTTAGTCAGCTGTCATGGGCTGCTTCCCGGGGGGGGGAAGTAGTTAGTAAACAGTTGATTGACAGTTGAGAGGCGGGCCGAAAGAGCAGAGCTCAATCCCCGCAAGCACAACTAGGTGAATACACACACACACATGCGCCCATCACACACACACACACACACACACACACACACACACACACACATACACACACACGTTGTAGATATGATAGAGCCCGATAGGCTCAGGAACCTGTACACCAGTTGACTGACGGTTGAGAGGCGGGACAAAAGACCCAGAGCTCAACCCCCGCAAGCACAACTAGATGAGTACACACACACACACACACAACCAGAGCAAGCATATCATGTATCTCTCACGACACCTCTACCACTATAAAGGACAGACAGTAAGTCTCCGTCGTATAATCCTGACTGTGTGTTGGACACGGCCATATATACCAACCTGTATAACGTCCGGTTCGGAGGGGGGCTGAATCGTCTGAAATGTTCCATATCCTCAAATATATTCCCACCAGCTATGTTCATTATTACGTGCGCATGTCGTCGGATATGTTTGGAAATATCGTATCGGTGAACATGTTAGTGTATGTCGCTGTTAGAATGCATAGTATTTCGTGAGAGTATATTGGAAGTTACTTGCTATATTTTAGATGGAATGTTTATATGTATATTAGATGGTATGGTATAGTGCTATGGCATTTGTATTTCTCTAAATCTCTCTCCTTCTCTTTACATTTCATATTTAGTTTTTTAAACAACTAACTTTCTCTCCATCTGTGTATATCTCTCTCCACATTTGTATACATATTTTTATCACTCCCAGCATTTATCTATACATCTCTCTCATTCTCCGTACATCTCTTAACATCTCTCTATCTCCCTTCGCATCTCTCGGCATTTCTGTATATCACTCTACCTTTCTCTCAGAATATCGCAATTCCACTGAGAGACGCAGCAAATCACACATAAGCTAGAGTTAGCCTACATCTGATAGAATCGTGGCGTGGATAGAAAATATCCCAGGAGACACGGGAGATCTCTTGTGTGTGGAAGGAATTTATTTCACGTTCTGATTTTGAGGTGAAGAACCTGTGTGTTCACACAAAGGGTTGGCTGGGATATGGGAGATTCTATAGTCTTTTAGTGTATATAGAGTGTGCTTGAGGAGGTGTCTGGTTTTATGTGTATGTATCTAGGTTTATGTGTATGTGTGTGTGTGTTGGTTTATATGTGAGTGTTTTGTTTATGAATGGGTGTCTGGATCGTGTTTGGGAATGTAGGTGGGTGTATGTGTATATATGTGCATGTTTATGTATATATGTGCGTCTCTGTGTCTTCATGTGTGCGTGTCTGTATATATGTGCTCATTTATCTGAGCGCGTGTTTATGTGTTTGTGTGTAGCTGTGTATTCGAGGGTGATCTGTGTACTCGTTAGCGTGGTGTATCTGTGCGACGCTCATTGAACGGTGGAGGTAGCAAAGCTGACTCTCCTAATGGTGTCCCGGTTATCTTCTACCAAGATTGTTACATAGTCTTCCCAGCTTGATTCCTGCTTTTGTTAATTACTTCCTTCAAAGAGGCACTTCCTCCTTCGGCTGTTTTCGTGTAAGTTTATTTCCTCTCACACTGTTATTCATCTCTTGTGTGTCTTGAGAACTTTATAAAACCTGAACGTCGTACTTTAATTATGGCAAGTTTGTTTACTTTAGTTAAACAGTTTGTGAGCTCCAAAGCACTATGAGGTTGTGAATACCGATGTCATGATTGCCGAAAGATGTACAGATTTCAAGTGGAAATTTCTGACGTTCTTGAAGGATGTTGGGCCAAGATGCGAAGGTTGTGATGCTCCTTTGTCTTGCCTTAGAGCTTAGATTTAATGATACTAAAGCGTTCCATAGGTCGATGTTCAGAATGGTAGCACCCGAGGCATAAAAAGAACGAGTCTGATATTTTTCCAGGGCGGTTATAAGGCCATTGCTGACATTCAACAAACCCATCTATCATTTATATTCCAAGACTCGAGGTTCCTTGAAGACTCCGCTGTTGAAGACTCCGGCGGAGTCTTCAAGGAACCATGAGTTCCTTCCTCTCCAGCGACACTTTTTTCATAGTTCAGGCCACAAAATGTCTTACGGTGCTCAATTATTAACACGTTTGTTCCTCACCTCGCGCAGCCCCATGCCCTGGATGCGCACGGTTTTGGTATCGACCACAGACAAATGTTTCATGACTTATCCTGCCTTTCAAGGCTCAATCTGGACACTAGAGATTACTGAGCATATTTCCAGCTAACAATGTGGCTCTACAAGCCACTATAGCAACGTGGCGCGGCCCAAGAGACTTATCCCTTGTTAACAGATGACTATTGCAATCAGAGTAACTTTTAAAGGGCATTTAAACACATGCAAGCAATGTTACGATAACGTCGCTTAAGGCTCTGTTTTGATAACGTCGCTTATGATAATTTCGTAGCTCATTTAATAATGTTTATTGTCCAGCGTTAATGAGGAAGTGTGTTAGTTACCGCTCGTTAGATTAGAGCTTTATTCTCATGTTAATGGCGCATCTTTTGTGTTAACGACGTTAGTAAAGTGGTAGGTGTTAATTCCAAGTTTCAAGCTGTCGTGAACAAGACGTAAGAGATTACGTTGGTTTTTTGTTTTTTCATGATAAATATGACATCAGGAGTTTTGTTTTGAGTCAGAGTTAAGTGTTCTAACCTTCCTTTCTCATTTTCTTCCCCCAATGCTTTCTTTCAATAATTCTTTTCCTTCTTCCTTTTTTCTTTCTTTCATCCGCTCTTTTGTTTCATTGGTTCCCCTCACTGATTTATTCTTTCTTTTTCTCCTCCCTTTTTTACCTTTCATTAATTCCTCCCTTCCTTCATTTAATTCCTTCCTCTCTTTCCACCTTCCTTCTTAACTTATTTCTAATAATTTTATCTAAATTTCATCCTTCTCCTCTGCATTCCTCCCTTTATTCCATTCTTCCTCCCTTACTTATTTTATTTATTCGTTTCTTCTTGCTTTCCTTCCTTTTTCATTCCTTACTTCTATTTCTTACCTCCAATATTCTTCTTTTCCTTCTCGCATCTGCTTTCTCCTCGCTCCGTTATGAAGCACTTTGACCATAGTCGCCACAGCTCTCAAGAGTGTGTGAGTTTTATAGTGCAGTAAAGGACAGCTGCGTTCCTGTGATGCCTGGACAGGACGTGTTGTACCAGAGTCTAATTTTTCCTGAGCTTAAATTCCAGTTTCATTGGTGGTGTCTCGCCGCACACAAACGATATTTTTGATCTTTTAGTACTCTGTTTTTTTCTGTTCCAGATATTGTCATATAAGATTTTATCACCCAATGCTTCATGTGTGGAGTGTTGTGGCTAGTACCTTCTCCTTCCAGACACCGCAATCCAGATCCTGGAAGAGCTTGGGTGGTTGTTCTGCTACTTTGTTTTAGTTTCTAGTGAGGGGAACTTTTTTTCAGAGGCTGGCATCCAGATCTCAGACGTTTGCAGAATGGTGATTTCATCCCTCAGTTTCCAGGAAATCGATCTTTTTTCTTCCAGAGGCCGCTGCTCTGATTTTGGACGAACACAGTTTCCAGTGAGTCGGTCTTTCCCTTTTAGAGTAGAGATTTTTAGTTTTCTTCAACTAGTGGCACACTGAACAGTGTTATTAATGTTATTTGTTTTAATAATGTTTATCGTGGATTTCAAAACATTGTTTTTTTTAGAATAAATATTCATATTTCTTAAAACTCCTGTTATTTTTGTCGTTCATTCAAACTCACGTTTTACATCTGTGGACATTCGTGGCACAATGATTAAAAAAGCTGTTCCAGATGCCCCCATCAAGATCCTGGACGAGCGTGGGTGGAGTTCGTAACACTTCACGTTTCCAGAGAGTTTGTCATGTCTTTCCAGAGGCCGCCATTCAGAGCCTGGACGAACGCAGTTGGTAGTTCTGACACTTTAGCTTTCAAGTGATTATGTTCCAAGAAAAACTACCATTCTGATCCTGAACGAGGGTCAGCGAAGGGTAGATTCGACACTTTAAAATTCCAGTGAGTAATCCTTGTCCTTCCAGAGGCTGCCATCCAGATCCTGGACGAGCGCGGGGTGGAGCTAAGAGAGAAGTTCTACCGTGCAGGCTCCACCATCGAACTCCAGTGTCACGTGGCCGACGTTCCCACGGCAACCTCGCTCCAGCTGGCATGGTACCATGGCAACCACAGACTCAACTATGACGACTCCCGGGGCGGCGTCAGGTACGTATCTGGCAACCATGACAGCCATAGTCTTGTTGGTATAGTACCATAGCAACCACAGCGGCGTATATATATATATATATATATATATATATATATATATATATATATATATATATATATATATATATACATATATATATATATATATATATATATATATATATATATATATATATATATGTATATATATATATATATATATATATATATATATATGTATATATATATATATATATATATATATATATATATATATATATATATATATATATATATATATATATATATATATATATATATATATATATATATATATATGTATGACAATGTCAGACCACGGAGGAAAAATGAAACAGGAAATTTCCTTAAGTACTTTCGTATATTAAATACATCTTCAGAAGGTCACCTTCTGAAGATGTATTTAATATACGAAAGTACTTAAGGAAATTTCCTGTTTCATTTTTCCTCCGTGGTCTGACATTGTCACATTCTTAATCACGTGTTTATTTTCGTGTTATACACACATATATATGTATATATATATATATATATATATATATATATATATATATATATATATATATATATATATATATATATATATATATATATATATATATATATATATATATATATATATATATATATATATATATATATATATATATATATATATATATATATATATATGTCGTACCTAGTAGCCAGAACTCACTTCTCAGCCTACTATGCAAGGCCCGATTTGCCTAATAAGCCAAGTTTTTATGAATTAATGTTTTTTCGTCTACCTAACCTACCTAACCTAACCTAACCTAGCTTTTTTTGGCTACCTAACCTAACCTTACCTATATATATAGGTTAGGTTAGGTTAGGTAGGGTTGGTTAGGTTCGGTCATATATCTACGTTAATTTTAACTCCAATAAAAAAAATTGACCTCATACATAGTGAAAAGGGTAGCTTTATCATTTCATAAGAAAAAAATTATAGTAAATATATTAATTCAGGAAAACTTGGCTTATTAGGCAAATCGGGCCTTGAATAGTAGGCTGAGAAGTGAGTTCTGGCTACTAGGTACGACATATATATATATATATGTATATATATATATATATATATATATATATATATATATGTCGTACCTAATAGCCAGAACGCACTTCTCAGCCTACTATTCAAGGCCCGATTTGCCTAATAAGCCAAGTTTTCATGAATTAATGTTTTTTCGTCTACCTAACCTACCTAACCTAACCTAACCTAGCTTTTTTTGGCTACCTAACCTAACCTTACCTATAAATATAGGTTAGGTTAGGTTAGGTAGGGTTGGTTAGGTTCGGTCATATATCTACGTTAATTTTAACTCCAATAAAAAAAAATTGACCTCATACATAGAGAAAAGGGTTGCTTTATCATTTCATAAGAAAAAAAATTATAGTAAATATATTAATTCAGGAAAACTTGGCTTATTAGGCAAATCGGGCCTTGAATAGTAGGCTGAGAAGTGAGTTCTGGCTACTAGGTACGACATATATATATATATATATATATATATATGTCGTACCTAGTAGCCAGAACTCACTTCTCAGCCTACTATTCAAGGCCCGATTTGCCTAATAAGCCAAGTTTTCCTGAATTAATATATTTACTATAATTTTTTTCTTATGAAATGATAAAGCTACCCTTTTCACTATGTATGAGGTCAATTTTTTTTTATTGGAGTTAAAATTAACGTAGATATATGACCGAACCTAACCAACCCTACCTAACCTAACCTAACCTATATATATAGGTAAGGTTAGGTTAGGTAGCCAAAAAAAGCTAGGTTAGGTTAGGTTAGGTAGGTTAGGTAGACGAAAAAACATTAATTCATAAAACTTGGCTTATTAGGCAAATCGGGCCTTGCATAGTAGGCTGAGAAGTGAGTTCTGGCTACTAGGTACGACATATATATATATATATATATATATATATATATATATATATATATATATATATATATATATATATATATATATATATATATATATATAATGTCGTACTTAGTAGCCAGAACGCACTTCTAGGCCTACTATGCAAGGCCCGATTTGCTTAATAAGCCAAGTTTTCATGAATTTATATATTTTCTCTAATTTTTTTCTTATGAAATGATAAAGCTACCCATTTCATTATGTATGAGGTCAATTTTTGTTTATTGGAGTTAAAATTAACGTAGATATATGACCGAACCAAACCAACCCTACCTAACCTAACTACCTAACCTAACCTAACTTATCTTCATAGGTTAGGTTAGATAGCCGAAAAAGTTAGGTTAGGTTAGGTTAGGTTAGGTAGGTTAGGTAGTCGAAAAACAATTAATTCATGAAAACTTGGCTTATTAGGCAAATCGGGCCTTGCATAGTAGGCCGAGAAGTGCGTTCTGGCTACTAGGTACGACATATATATATATATATATATATATATATATATATATATATATATAAACTAAGGGGGTGTCCAAAAACGTTACTTAATTATATGCTTGATTTTAAAAGATTAAATTTTTTGAAAACATGATTCCGATGAAGCTTGATAATCTGAATATAATTATCCACTCGACATGGTTCTGTTTTTTGGACAATGAAGATTTACATCACGGAGAGCTCAATAAAAATTGTTCTTTGTAAGTCCAATAATTTGGGGGGCTTAGAGAAATATGGAAGAAAGATATTATGTGTTAGAGACATTGGAGATGGTTAAGTGAAGAAAATTTAGAGGGAAGGATGTATATATATAGAGAGAGAGTTGAAGGTAAATTGGAAGGGACCAGGAGAATAGTAAATAAAGATATCGACAGAGAGAGAATGAGTGAGGGAGACGTAAAGGAATAAAGAGTTTTGTAATTAGTTGGAGATGAAGTTATATGGAGACAGCTCTACCCCGAAGTTGTCTATATATAGCACTTGGAAGAGAGGTATAAGAAAAAGGAGCTTGGACATGAAAGGTTTGAAAGAAGGAACGGTACTCAAGTGATCGATCCCCCAATGACACTTGGATCATCATGGATTGAATCCTAAATCAGTAAGAACCAGTTCTGACCAGTCCAAGTGAATTGCGCAAATTGGAGAAGCAATTTGCCTCGTTTGAATTGCATCAGTTTCCCTTTGAATTTCATACATTTATTATCCCATACTTGTTCAACAGGCAACTACTTTTTATCGAAGATATTCAATACTGTTCAGTTTGTCTAAGGGTTTATTCTTTGAGTCTCACCTCGTAAGATTTATTGCTGCCTTGGTAAAAACTAGTTTACTTCTAATGTTTCAAAAGACATTTTCATAAAGATGGTTTTGCTTTAATAGTATATCCCTTCAATCTTTACAACATAATGTTATCTTTAGTTAATCAGGAGACCATAAGATAATGACTGACTGACTCTTTGGTGGCTCAGTTATGCTTCTGTCGAATATGGATCGACAGAAGCATAATTTCTTATGAAGTCAGAATTTTTATTGAAGTCAAATGCTCTGTTAGCTGTCACTTGCGGGTTGGCTAGGGGCTAGGTTTATGTCAAGATCAGAATGCTTAGGGTGTCATTGGCCAGAATGTCAGCTCTCTATATTGATTCATCAATTTATCTTTTTTATACCCCTCTGTCCAACCACTTGGACTGGACGGTAGAGCGACGGTTTCGCTTCACGCATGTCGGCATTCAATCCCAGACCGTCCCCACTGGTTGGGCATCATTACTATCCTCCCCGTTACATCCCCAAATCCTTATTCTAACTCCTTCTTAGTGCTATATACTTATATACTCGTAATGGCTTGGCGCTTTATCCTTATAAGTCTCTCTCTCTCTCTCTCTCTCTCTCTCTCTCTCTCTCTCTCTCTCTCTCTCTCTCTCTCTCTCTCTCTCTCTCTCTCTCTCTCTCTCTCTCTCTCTCTCTCTCTCTCTCTCTCTTTCTCTCCTTCCTTCCCCCCCCCTCTCCGCGACTTCAACTTTGTTTTCGGTGAATACTTTATTGTGTACACGATGGTGATAATAATGATTGTGTTCGATATACATCCAACACGATCATTCATATATATATATATATATATATATATATATATATATATATATATATATATATATATATATATATATATATATATATATATATATATATATATATATATATATATAATGTATATATATATATATCATAAACAGTTTTTGAAAGGATAATAATAGCAATTTTTAGAAATCTGAATAAATAATGAAAACTATTCAGGTGATGGAACAGAAGTTGGCAAAGAGCTTAACATTTTCTTTTATATACAGGTGTTTTTGCACATTTAATGTTTTTGTTTATTTACTTGGCAAAATTGGACACAATTGCCCCAGGAAATTGGCCAATTTTGTTATTAAATAAATTTAACAAATCCTTTTAAGATCAGATGTACTCCGCCCACCCTGGCAATATCTGACCAAATCTGTGTACATATCATTCCTTCTCGAATGTTTATAAGGTCTTGGCTGAAAAATATCTCAGTGCAAAGACCGAATTACACAAAAACACACACATTATGTGCTTCCTAATGTGAGTATCTGCTCTTATCAAATGTGTGTTTAAAAAACTCAGTTAAAAATTTAACAGAGTTTTAACTCGGTTAAAACTCAGCTAAAAAAAGCAGCAGAAATTTGAAGATAATCTGCTGGAAGTGGAGTTTTTCTGGGGACTTCATAACTTTCCTGAACACCTTAGCTGAACTGAACAACCTAACCTAACCTAACCTAACCTAACCTTAGGAAGCCATGGGATTCTTTGGTTGTTCTCTCTTTTAACATATTTATAGCACAGTGGCTACTGTGAAAATCCCTGATATTTCTATGATATAGATTTTCTTTTGCTTATATTCTAGATTTAAATTGAAATTGTATCCCCACAGTATCAACACTGACCTCTGACACTCTATCCCTCCACAGCATCAACACAGTACTGACTCTGGCACTCTCTCCCTCCACAGCATCAACACAGTACTGACTCTGGCACTCTCCCTCCACAGCATCAACACAGTACTGACTCTGGCACTCTCTCCCTCCACAGCATCAACACAGTACTGACTCTGGCACTCTCCCTCCACAGCATCAACACAGTACTGACTCTGGCACTCTCCCTCCACAGCATCAACACAGTACTGACTCTGGCACTCTCCCTCCACAGCATCAACACAGTACTGACTCTGGCACTCTCCCTCCACAGCATCAACACAGTACTGACTCTGGCACTCTCCCTCCACAGCATCAACACAGTACTGACTCTGGCACTCTCCCTCCACAGCATCAACACAGTACTGACTCTGGCACTCTGCCTCCACAGCATCAACACAGTACTGACTCTGGCACTCTCCCTCCACAGCATCAACACAGTACTGACTCTGACACTCTCCCTCCACAGCATCAGCACAGTACTGACTCTGGCACTCTGCCTCCACAGCATCAACACAGTACTGACTCTGGCACTCTCCCTCCACAGCATCAACACAGTACTGACTCTGACACTCTCCCTCCACAGCATCAACACAGTACTGACTCTGGCACACTCTCCCTCCACAGCATCAACACAGTACTGACTCTGGCACTCTCCCTCCACAACATCAACACAGTACTGACTCTGGCACTCTCCCTCCACAGCATCAACACAGTACTGACTCTGGCACTCTCCCTCCACAGCATCAACACAGTACTGACTCTGGCACTCTCTCCCTCCACAGCATCAACACAGTACTGACTCTGACACACTCTCCCTCCACAGCATCAACACAGTACTGACTCTGGCACACTCTCCCTCCACAGCATCAACACAGTACTGACTCTGGCACTCTCCCTCCACAGCATCAACACAGTACTGACTCTGGCACTCTCCCTCCACAGCATCAACACAGTACTGACTCTGGCACACTCTCCACAGCGCCAAAACAGTACTGATCCTGGCACTCTTCCCCACAGCGTCAAGACGGAGCTGCGAGGTTCTGTGGCCCGGTCGTGGCTCCGAGTTAGTAACGCTGTCAGACAAGACTCCGGTACCTACTATTGTAACGTTACCCACCTAGCGGCTACCAGCGTCACTATACACGTGGTACCAGGTGAGTGGTGGTGGGTGTAGTGGTGTAGGTGGTGAGTGTAGTGGTGTAGGTGGTGGGTGTACTGGTGTAGGTGGTGGGTGTAGCGGTGTAGGTGGTGAGTGTAGTGGTGTAGGTGGTGAGTGGCGGTCAGTGTAGTGGTGTAGGTGGTGAGTGTAGTGGTGTAGGTGGTGGGTGTACTGGTGTAGGTGGTGGGTGTGGTGGTGTAGGTGGTGGGTGTAGTGGTGTAGGTGGTGAGTGGCGGTCAGTGTAGTGGTGTAGGTGGTGAGTGTAGTGGTGTAGGTGGTGAGTGTAGTGGTGTAGGTGGTGAGTGTAGTGGTGTAGGTGGTGGGTGTACTGGTGTAGGTGGTCACGTTACCCACCTGGCGGCTACCAGCGTCACTATACACGTGGTATCAGGTGAGTGGTGGTCAGTGTAGTGGTGTAGGTGGTGAGTGGTTGTGTAGGTGGTGTAGGTGGTGAGTAGTGGTGCGTATAGTGGTGTAGGTGGTGAGTAGTGGTGAGTGTAGTGGTGTGGGTGGTGAGTAGTGGTGAGTGTAGTGGTGTAGATGGTGAGTAGTGGTCAGTGTAGTGGTGTAGGTGGTGAGTGGTGGTGTAGGTGGTGAGTGGTGGTGTAGGTGGTGAGTATTGGTGCGTGTTGTGGTATAGGTGGTGAGTAGTGGTGAGTGTAGTGGTGTAGGTGGTGAGTAGTGGTCAGTGTAGTGGTGTAGATGGTGAGTAGTGGTCAGTGTAGTGGTGTAGGTGGTGAGTGGTGGTGTAGGTGGTGAGTGGTGGTGTAGGTGGTGAGTAGTGGTGCGTGTAGTGGTGTAGGTGGTGAGTAGTGGTGAGTGTAGTGGTGTAGGTGGTGAGTAGTGGTCAGTGTAGTGGTGTAGATGGTGAGTAGTGGTCAGTGTAGTGGTGTAGGTGGTGAGTGTAATAGTGTAGGTGGCGATGTTTAGGTGAGTGTAGTGGTGAGTGTGGTGGTGCTAGTTTGAGGCTAGTGGTGATAAGCAGGTTATGGCATACGTGGTGTGTATATTGGTGCAGACTGTGTGTGTGTACCATAGCCAATAGTGTAGGTGGTGTACTTTCTAGTTATGTAGGTGGGGAAGAATTTAATGTAATGGGTATTGTATTTACTGATGTAGATAGTGCCGGAGATTGTATTATTTATGCAGTACGTGATGTTGGTGAGGTTAATGATAGTGCTGTTTTAGAAGTGGTTTTAATGTGGAATATGATGGTGTAAATTAAGATTTTTATATATACAACAAAAATTTACTCATCCTTCAGCAGTGATTCAACCATCATCCCACCGCTGCCACCAATTGTTACAAAAGATTTTGAGAGCCGACTAATTTTGAGAAATGCTAATACTGGAAATATGATGGAGTATGAAAGTAATTGGAAATTTAATGAACTACTAATTGAAATACAAAATGGAAAATGAATAAATTCTTAAATGAACCAGTGGGAAGAAATGGTAATGTAAACATACAAATGCAAAGGGATAAAGACTTGTAGAGAGAGAGAGAAGACTCCTATGGAGAGAAACGGCTGCATGAAATGCATTTCCCAGAAGCAAGGAAATTTATATAAATATATAAATAAAAACAATTGAAATAAATAATAAAAACATGTAGCATAATGAACACATAAACACACGTGTTCATTAGGATCAAGAATATACATTTCAATAAAACCCCAATACATACTGATCAATAATCTCAGCAAAAACTTCTCAGTATTTGTACAAAAGAAAATAATATATATAATGCCAGCAAAAGAGGACCGTATAAAAGGCACTAACAACATAAGGGGATAACACAAAGTAATGCTCAGGGCGAAGGACACTATGCTCGACCCGACCAGCGAAAATTGTTTTAAAAATGTTACAAGTGAAAAATATATTGCCTGTAACAAAGGCCCGTCGAGTGACGCTGGCTAGACCCTACACCCCCTTCCCCCTTCCCTCACTCCACCCTACCCATAGCTCCACCCTTCCCTTCCCCAACTCTTGCACCACCTCCCCTCAACCCACCCTTTCCCTCATCCTCCCTTCCCTCACAACACTCTCCACCCTCATCCCACCCATCCCGTAACTCACTCTCCCTTCAATTAACACCTCCTACTCTACCTTCACCTTCCATTTACCCTCAATTTACCTAACATCCCGCAATCTACCTCCAAGTGCCCCAATCTCTCGATTTCAGCTACCTTCGCTCCCTTCCCATAGCTTTCTTTTTCATTCTCCACGCCTACTTTCTCCACCCTTTAACCCTTTCTGTTTCCAAACCTTCCTTACCCCCTTCTCGTCTCCCTTTTCTTCCCACGCCTCCCTTATCTCCCTCGTTTTGGATCTAGAACCAAAAAGAAACCAGAACTATAATGAAAAGAGAACGATAACTAAAGTAATGAAAACAAAGAACAACAGTATCTATTTAGTAGCCAGTGGGTGAGATACGTGCCCCTTGGCAGAACGAGAAGGGATAAATGGAAGGAATAAATAGTGGGAGTAAATGGTGGCAATAAAGAGAAAGAATATATAAAATAGAATTCTGGTTCCCAGGATCAAGGTGCTGTGTTTGTTAAATGGACTGTCCATTACAAAAATATGGGAGAAAGAGGAGAAATAGAGGAATGAGGCAGTGAAGGTAAGGAGAAGACAGTGGAATGGAGGAGAAAATTAAATTTCCGTCTGAATAATATTAATAATAATATTCTATCACTCTATCTATACATGAGTGATTGTTTTTCTGTTCTAGGCTGGAGGCCAAAAATCAGAGGCTGGAGGCCAGGCCTCAGAGTTCAGACGCCTTACCCAACTATTCTGGGAAAATGTTCTGAGACATGAGAGGGGGGGAAAAAGGAAACGGGAAGAGGAGGTTGTGTGTGAAGAGAAAGTGGGGAGAGTGTTTGGAGAGGGAGTTGGGTGTGTGTGAGGAAGAGAAACAGGAGGTTGTGGAGATAAGAGAAGGTGAAGACAGCTAGAGGAGGCAGATATATACACACACACACACAAACATATATGCATGTGTATGTATATATACATATACACACACACACATGAACGAACAGACATACGTTCGCATGTCCCTAAAAATACATATGGCGCTACCTTGAGGTGCGTAGACAAGCAGAATAAAAGGCCCTTAAAGAAGCAGAATGCAGGAACTAAAACATTAAAGTCAATGTGTAAAGGTGAAAAATCACACATGAGACTGTAACTAGCTGCGACCTTTGTTATTTTCCAGTAATCAAACCCCATCTCCACCCCCTCACAAGGCTGCCAAAAATGTTAATCATGGCTCCTGCATAAAGGAATCTCACCGTCCTGGAAGAATAGACCACACAAGACCATAAACCAGGAACGAGAAAATATCGTTCCTGCGGAAGACTGTGCCAAGGAGGAAGATATATGAGAGAGGAAGATAAATGATAGAGGAAGATAACGGTGGATATTAGAGATATACAACAGGTGAGACATCAGAGATATACAACATGAGAAATTAGAGATACACACAACAGGTGAGACATTGTTCGGAACATAAATGGGGAGATATTGTTCGGATCGTAACATATGGACGAATCACAGCAGATCAGATAATGTTCGGAAGCGTACAGGGCTGCACAAAAGACCATACGAATACAGGAAAAAATGCAGAAGGCTTATTAATAGACTATACGAGACAGCGTCTATTAATATCCACCGAGAGTCATTCATCTATACCTAACCTACGCTTGAAACACTCCAGCGATCCCAATGGCTGTTATGTTACCCGGCAAACTGTTCCATAATTTAACAACCCGGTTTCCAAGCCATTATTTACCCCAGGTCTTTCCTGAATCTAATTCAATTTATATCCACTGTTTCGAGTTCAATAGATCCAATAATACATGGAATAACTCCAGTAATGTTCAAAACACAACAGGTGAAATAATGCCCAAATATTTTCTAATCTTTAAGAAAGAAACTTAGTTGGAGGAGCAGAGCGCGTTCCTGGTCGCCATATATCAGGGTAGGCGACGCTGGCTGGCCATATTCATTCCACTGATACTGGACCATACACGCAGACAACAAGCACATTCCACTGATACTGGACCATACACGCAGACAACAAGCACATTCCACTGATACTGGACCATACACGCAGACAACAAGCACATTCCACTGATACTGGACCATACACTCAGACAACATGCACATTCCACTGATACTGGACCATACACGCAGACAACAAGCACATTCCACAGATACTGGACCATACACGCAGACAACAAGCACATTCCACTGATACTGGACCATACACGCAGACAACAAGCACATTCCACAGATACTGGACCATACACGCAGACAACAAGCACATTCCACTGATACTGGACCATACACTCAGACAACACGTACTTACACGGGGAACAAAATGAATGTGGTTAATGTCTGCTAATCAAATTTGACAATTGTTTAATTAGCAAGGCAAATTGCGCACCAATATGTACAAAAATAAGGGCGTTCAAACATAAACAATTGTTTAAACCTTAATTTATGTGTTTATAATATTATTAGTAATATCAGTCGGTATTTCAGTCGTAGTCAAAATAATAAAATAACAATAATAATAATAAATAATTATAATTATATAAATAATTACTAACATTTAAACAGTAAAATATCCCCTCGTTAGCCATATAGTTCAGTTTACACTCTTACTTTAGAAAACCATTAAAGAAGCAATAGCACTCTCTATTTTCTAAGTTTGAAATAACGTAGATAATAAGGGGTTCTAAACCACACACGACTCCAATTAACAACCTAACCGGATCAACCAACGTATGTAAATCATGGATATTAGCGAGTACTTTCTAAGTACCCCCTTATTTTGTACGTTGGGAAACCATAGCGTTTTTCAATAGTACCCCCTTATTTTGTACGCTTGGGAAACCATAGCGTTTTTCAATAGTACCCCCTTATTCTGTACGCTTGGGAAACCATAGCGTTTTTCAATAGTACCCCCTTATTTTGTACATTGGGAAACCATAGCGTTTTTCAATAGTACCCCCTTATTTTGTACATTGGGAAACCATAGCGTTTTTCAATAGTACCCCCTTATTTTGTACGCTTGGGAAACCATAGCGTTTTTCAATAGTACCCCCTTATTCTGTACGCTTGGGAAACCATAGCGTTTTTCAATAGTACCCCTTATTTTGTACATTGGGAAACCATAGCGTTTTTCAATAGTACCCCCTTATTTTGTACGTTGGGACACCACAGCGTACAAAATACGACGCATTAATCGTGAGGACGGGTTGAAATATGATGGAAAAGGTTGAATGACACTATTATATGTCTCCTAGATCTAAAACCAAGCGTTATATTGAAACGTTATAAACCTGATCGTCACGACCACTGCACCTGACGACCACTTCATCACTGTCTCGAAAGACCACTTGACCAATGGCTCAAACGACCACTTAACCACTTGACCAGATGAGCACTGGTTCACTAGATACATGGACCTCATGGTGGCTGAGGCACTGATTCTGATGACTACTGGACTAAATTAATGCTGAATTGCATGCCATGATAACACACAGGACTTCTAAACCCCTACCTGACGAACCAACCAGCTACACTTGTATGCTTCCCGATGAAAATAACAACTTATACTTGACGTAAGTTTATCTTCGAACACAGACACACACAGATAGACACACACATCAAGAACGTGAAACAGAGACACAGAGGGTCCATGTAGAGAGAGCTTTAAGGGAATCCCAGAGCCTTAGGAGTAATCTCGCTCAGACTCTCAGTCGAGGCTCGGTATTAATCCCAACACTCAATCAATATGCCGTGTGCTAATAGTAGAGCACCTCGGTGTCTTAGCCTCAACGCACCTGGGATGATTGTAGGCAATGTGAGGGACTTCTCTCTCGTTAACACCGCCAGCTGGACAGGCTTTGAGTGTAGGGAAGTCTCACTGTGTTTATTTACAGTTGTGTGTGTGTGTGTGGGTGGGTGTTCATCTAGTTGTGCTTGCGAGGGTTGAGCTCTGCTCTTTCGGTCTGTCTGTCAACGGTCAATCAATCAACTGTAACTAGCTACTATTTTTTTTGCCCCCCTCTCCCTCCTGGACGCATCCCGTAACAGCTGTCTAACTCACAGGTACCTACTATTTACTGCAAGGTAGCAGGGGCATCAGCGTGAAAGAAACTCTGCCCATTGTTTCTCGCCGGCGCTGGGAATCGAAACCCGGACCACAGGATTACGTGCAAAGTGTGTTGTCCACTCAGCCACCGGCCCTTGTGTGTGTGTGTGTGTGTGTGTGTGTGTGTGTGTGTGTGTGTGTGTGTGTGTGTGTGAAAACCGAGAGGACTGATGTATGAAGAAAGACCGAGGAAGTTGGATCTTCCTGCGTATGATAAAAAGTCAGAGAGCCATGATCGCGACATAAATGATTGAAGAGGGCTTTAATAATTATTAAATAACAAAATTATTTAGCAGACGCAACAGCAGATTAGACTATGGGTGGAAGCTAGAGAAGGTATATGAGATGCAAGGCAACATTGATTTATCCAAGACGAATGAAAGAAGAAGTCATTACTAATAAAATACGTTGCTTGAAATAACGTTTTGATGGATAGTTGGTCGAGAATAATTACATAAGATAACCATAAGCTGGAAAATGCTTGACCCAGGAGCTGAAGCTCATGCCTACAGGCACACAGATAAGTTTACCAACACACACAAAGTCAAACACCATCCTCACTATTTAAACTACACTTCACCCATCGATCATGTTAATGCAACAAATAATAAAGCTATCACGTCCATACACCACGACTCCTTAGTCTGAATCCAGCAAATTGCACGACAATTTTTGTCAATTATGGTTTATTTTGGAATAAAACCATCCATTACCGAGGCCAGCAGTCATTAAGGATTTACTTGCGAGACCTGTACATCTTTCCTTAATCATGGCGGCATTCTTCACATTTATCAGACAGTTTATGAGCCTTGAAACTTCACAACCCGAGGTTATTATTCTTATTAACAACCTCATTGTGCTTCAGAGCTCGTAAACTGCTTAATAACTGTAAACACAGCAGCCGTGATTGTTGACATATGTTCAGGCTTCCTAAGTGGATGCGTAAATGATGACGTAACCTGGTCATGAATAATGCAGGCACCGGCAACTCTGCGGTGTGACAGCCAACCTTGGCGGAGTTTCCAGTCTTGGTAAACTGTGTGTGTGTGTTTCTGAGTGCTTGTGTTTACATTTTTCTCTCCTCTGCCCTCCCGGGGTAAGTTCCCGCGCAATCTCAACTCTCGCTATGGCGCGGTATATTTTTGTGGTGTATTGTTTGCTGAAGGATTTTCGATGGAAATTTTTATTTTTTAATGGAGAAGTGTAGAGGCATGGAGTGACTTGGGGGAAGGGAGGAGGAGGAGGTGGTGAGGGCGTTGATGGGGGACTTAGATGAGTGATGAGAAGAAGTTAAGCTGGGATGATGTGGGGAGGGAACTGGCTGTGAGGTGATGAAGCAAGTGTGATGAGAGAGGGGGACAAGTGTGATGAATAGGGAGACGGTGATAAGAGTGTCTGGTGACAGGTAGGATGAAAGGAGCAGGTTGTGAGAAGGAAAAGGGGGTGGGGGCAAGTCTGATGAGACAGGGTAAGGATAAATGTGTTAACAGGGAGGGAGGAGGATAGATGTGATGAATGGGAGGACAGGGTAATGCAAGGAGGATGGGATCTTAAGGATATGCAATACATAAATCTGTACACCAGTTGATTGACAGTTGAGTGGCGGGATCAAAGCAACCCGTCCTCTTAAAAATAACGTCACTTTTCGCTGGTATGCGCGCTATGGCCAAATTTGGACGTAATTTGAAATGAAATCGACTCACAAAAGTGACGTACTGTTCCGTTTTCTGTTTGAGTCGTCCGGCTTACTCGGCCAGCTTAGAAAAGGATTCTTTCCATTAACGTTTTTCATACCATTTTGAAACTTTATGAGAATTTCCTGCCCACCTAACCTATCAGAGGACCCTAAACTTACTGTTGTTGAAAAAAAATCCCAAATTTATATTCATTTTTTTTTTATATTTTCAAATTACGTCCATATTCGGCCATACAGGCAAACGGCCAAAAGCGACGTTCTTTTTAAGAAGACAGGTTGGCTGAGTCATCCCCGGCAAGCACAACTAAGTGAGTACAAACTATACAAATCAGAATGAATGGGATTTGTCTGGTAAACAATATTATGAGATTCTCTCTATATAATACATCCTACTCTAGCTACACTTCAATACACTACAACAATAGCAACAACGTTCTGTGTTCTCTCCCACACCGGACGCTCTCTCTATGCATTGTTTACAAGCTCCGTTTCGTACACATTGTGTTCCAATAATATTTTCAACATATATATATTTATAACATTTAGTCTCTTACGGCACATGTTACTAAAATCTCCTATTTTCTAGTGTCCCATCAATTTAAACTGAAAATAAAAATAACGTTTAACTTTGTAAACAATTTTGTTGACCATAATTGACATCTCTCTCTCTCTCTCTCTCTCTCTCTCTCTCTCTCTCTCTCTCTCTCTCTCTCTCTCTCTCTCTCTCTCTCTCTCTCTCTCTCTCTCTCTCTTTCTCACCCCCCCCCTTTATTTTTACTGTCTTTGCCTCTGTATCTCTCCTTCCGTTTCTCATTTCCCTCTTTCCGTTCTGATTTCTTCTCCTTGATTTCTCCCTTTTACCTGCTATCTTTTCCAGTTCTCTCTCTCACTTCTTGTCATCATACTCAACCCTTCCTCCCTTCTGCCCCTTTTACTCTTCCTATTTCTCCCATTCTCACTTTTTCCATGCTTTAATTCTCTCTTTTCCTCTCTCACTCCTCCCAATCACCTTCCACTACTATTCTTCATTTTCTGCCTCTCCTTTTTCCACTTCTTTCCTGCTTTCTTCTATTTGTTTTTTTTTTTGTTCTACCCCTTTTCTTGTCTCTTCCTCTCTCCTTGCTTCTCATTCTCCCCTACTTCTTTCACTCTCAAAGCCTTTCCTACTTCTATTGCCTCTCTCTCTCCCCCTGCTACTCCCTCTGTCACTCCCTCTCCCACTCCACTTGTTCTACCTCTCCTGCTGCCCCTGCCTCTCTCCGTGCCTCTCAGTCAGTAAGACCATTCTTCTTCTTCCTCAGACGAGTACCCGGCGGCCATTCAGAGGGGATCCAGAGCATCACCGTGGAGAGGCATCATGTTGCTGGCCTGCCTCGCCTCCTCCTTCCTCCACACCTTCCTCTCCTTCTGCTGCTGCTCCCCGCCACACAGATAAAGTCAGTTCCTCCACTGGAGTAAAAGCTGGAGGTTGAATCAAGAAAAGTCAAGAGAACTCTGAGGCTGAGGAAAGTTTGAGGAGGGCATCTCTCATTTTCTCTTCACACTCTCTTCCTCTTTCTCTTCTGCTGGTGCTGCCGCTAATTGCGTTTCTCTTCCTGTCACATCTGCTCTTCCCACTGATGTTGACGCACCGAGGGAGGGCAAAGTCGGCAGCTAAATGATACGCAAGTCAGCATTTGAGTAAAGCTGAGGTCAGGCCATTCTTCCTCTGCTTGCATCTTCCTGCTCGTCTTGTGTCTCTGCTTTCCCTACTACTGCTCCTTCTGCTACTGCACGCCACGTATATGCAACTAATCCCATTGGAAGCAAATGCTAGAGTGGAAGACGCAAAGCTCTGCAGGAATATGAAGATAGATACACGGCAGACACTCGTATCTCACTCCTGCTATTCTCCAAGCTGCTGCTGCTACTTACTCTGTTTCTTATTCTTCTGTTGATGCTTCTTTGTTTCTCATTCCGCTACTTGCCGTTCTGCTGCTGATGCTTCTGTTCTTTCTACCTCTGTTATTGTTACTTCTAATTCTATTCCTTCTGCAAGTCATATTTCGAGAACTGTTCCTTCTGCTTCTGCTATTTTGCTACTACTTATTTCTGAGATAAATCTGTCTTATGCCTCTGGAAAATCTTGGAACACAGAGGTCAAGCAGAGCAAGAACTGTGACTCTTTTTGTGTTGCCATGGTGATAACTCCTCAGCCTCCCACACAGGACGCGAATCAAATAATGACTTGAACCCCAAGCACTTCACGACTCGCTGGACGGCAGCTAGACGCCAGGTCTGCAGTGAGACTTTGATGACGGATCCAATGGAGGGCAGCTAGCCGGCGGATCTACTGTGGGCCCTTTATTGTCGAATCTAATGGATGGCAGCTCCCCGCCGGGTCTTCAGTGAGGCCTGTGCTGACGACCTCTGCTACCCTCCGCTCCGTTGTGAAGTATAACTTGTATTTCCTCAGGAGTTTTTAAGACATTTGGCTCAAGTGCAGAGTGTGTATAGTGTACGAGCTGTATGTTTTAGAGGACTTAGGTTATTTTGTTGAGCCTTGAGACGTAAACACTCCTCCGGCGTGAATTAACGAAAGTTCAGTGTTTTTCTTGAAGAACATTTTGCATTATATATATATATATATATATATATATATATATATATATATATATATATATATATATATATATATATATATATATATATATATATTAAAATGCTGAAAATAAAGCCAAGGCCTATTGTTGTTGATCAGGCCATTAATCAATCACCATGGAGGGAAAGGCCTACCCGTTAACAGGCATTTGGCTTAACTGTGAACAGACGACTTGTGAAAACGTTTTAGCTGAGGGAAACCAGTGAATTAGCAAGAAAACAACAGAATATTCACAAGTAAACAATCAATTAGAACAGAAATCTCTTGATTATCAGTGTAATCGACCTGAGACGGCAATTATTAATTATCTGTTTTTGTTATAGTTACTGCTATTGTTATACAAATCATTAATCGTTATTTAATTAATATTAATTTAATCGTTAATAATTAATATTCTGAAGATAAGTAATATTATAATTATCATTTATTATTAGAATTATTCATATTTATTATTATTATTATTATTATTATTATTATTATTATTATTATTATTATTATTATGAATGCTGTTGTTGTTATCAACAAAGTTCCATAACCATCTATGATGTTTTTTGTCATTATGTGTACATTTAAAACTTAGTTACAGAGGCGAGGAAGACGGCATAAGGTCGACTTCCCTAAGTAACATAAGTATCGGTGTTAAGTGTAATATCCACACTTATATAAATGTTTCGTGTAGGACAATTTATGTTAAAGTAACTACGCTAATTTGTTTTTATTTATTCGTTTAATTCCGTAAAAACTCATGCATACAAATGTGATTCCAATGTGTGTCTTTTTAATAAATGGTTGAATATTATGCCTAGTTTGTATTTTGAATACACGCGTGGTTGAAATTAATTTATATGACTGTTTTAAATAGCAAAAACAAATAGGTTGTCAGGTGCCCATCGAACGTCACCAAGCAAAGAGCTTACCACCAAGCAGAGAGCTTACCACCAAGCAGAGAGCTTACCACCAAGCAGAGAGCTTACCACCAAGCAGAGAGCTCACCACCAAGCAGAGAGCTCACCACCAAGCAGAGAGCTTACCACCAAGCAGAGAGCTTACCACCAAGCAGAGAGCTTACCACCAAGCAGAGAGCTCACCACCAAGCAGAGAGCTCACCACCAAGCAGAGAGCTTACCACCAAGCAGAGAGCTTACCACCAAGCAGAGAGCTTACCACCAAGCAGAGAGCTTACCACCAAGCAGAGAGCTTACCACCAAGCAGAGAGCTTACCACCAAGCAGAGAGCTTACCACCAAGCAGAGAGCTTACCACCAAGCAGAGAGCTTACCACCAAGCAGAGAACTCACCACCAAGCAGAGAGCTCACCACCAAGCAGAGAGCTCACCACCAAGCAGAGAGCTCACCACCAAGCAGAGAGCTCACCACCAAGCAGAGAGCTCACCACCAAGCAGAGAACTCACCACCAAAGCAGAGAGCTCACCACCAACCAACCAGACAGTTTACTGCCAAGCAGACAACTCACCACCAAGCAGACAACTCACCACGAAGCAGACAACTCACCAGTAAGCAGACAGCAACAACATTCCCCGCTGCCCTTTTCACATGCATATTGCTTTGTTTACTCCTCACGTTATCACGGTCATTCATACTGCTTTGTTTAAGTTAGGAATCGTATTCCCCGTGTTTTAGAACACTGCTTAGATAAGAAGCTGTATACCCGGTGGGCGTATAAGGAGAAGGGGGGTAGAGAGGGGGTAAGGAGGGGGAAAGGAGATGCAGTGGGTCAGGAGAGAGAGAAAAAAAGGGGATGGTGAGAAGAATGGAGTGGATGAGAGGGATGGAGGAAGGGAGATCGATGCACTTGAGATAGGTGGAAGACGAAGAAGAGAGATAATTGGATCAAGAAAAGGGAGTAGGGAGTGATACAGAAGTGAAAGAGAGGGAGAGAAGGGGGGTGACACTAATAGTGACTGAATGGGCAAGATGATGAATTAAACTGAGTGAATGGAGTTGAAGAAAACTTGATGGAGTAGTGAAGCAAATAACAGGCAGTTGAAAGTGAAAAATGGGAGATGAAGAGAAAGAAGCAGAATGGAGAGAACAGGAATAGGAGCGGTGATAGTGGAGCGAGGGATGGCGAGAGGGGATGACGAAGGAAGTAGAAACGAGGAAGAGACAGAAAGAAAGAAAGGGAAGAAACGTACACTTGAAAATAAAAATGTCTCAGCAGGAATATGAATGAGAAGTGATAAGAGACATAGGTAAGGATCGATGTCCTGTGAGTGACTGTGAGAGGTAAGAGTGTGTTTCTGAGAGTCAATCTGAGTGGCAAGGACATATTACCACCTACACCAACCCTTAAAATATTATAATTAAAACAAATATCAACAGGATTATTAGAATACACGCTGCACCTCCCTAAACAACGATTCGGGCGTTAATTGTGTTAAAGTGTGTCTCTAGAGTCCGGTTTTGGGCTTGTCAGACAATATTTTCCTTGGCTGGTGCTAGGAAGTTGTCTCCCCTTTAGCGTGTACTAGCCCTTGGGATTCTCAGCTCCCGTCCAATCCTAATGACTTGGAAATTGTCACGGATGAAATCCAACAGCCATTTCTCAGTCTATCGCTGAACCGTGAAGGCGAGCGGATGTGTGTGTACTCACTTGCTTGTACCCGCCTATTTGTGCTTGTAGGGTCGAGCAACTGGTCTTGAGTTCCGCCTTTTCACTGTCATTAGTTCCATGTAGTGACTCTTTCTTCACTCGTGTGTGTGTGTGTGTGTGTGTGTGTGTGTGTGTGTGTGTGTGTGTGTGTGTGTGTGTGTGTGTGTGTGTGTGTGTGTGTGTGTGTGTGTGTAATTACCTAAGTGTAGTTACAGGATGAGAGCTACGCTCGTGGTGTCCCGTCTTCCCAGCACTGTGTGTGTGTGTGTTTATTTATTATTTGTATTTACTATTTGTGCCTGCAGGCTCGACCTGTTAGTTCTTGGACCCCGCCTTTCTAACCGTTCGTTCCGTAGTGTGCTGATTATCGAACTATTTTTCACTATCATAACTGCAACATATATTTCAGGGACCAAAGAACCAGAGCTCAACCCCCTCAAGCACAATTAGGTGAGTACACAAACACACACACAAGATGCAGCCCGCAATAGCTGCCTAAATCCCTGGTACCTATTTACTGCTAGAGGAACAATTAAAAGGAACTCTGGGCGTTTTTTATGTCCCAGGCCGGGACTCGAACCCCAGGTCTGTGTGTGTGTGTGGAAACTCCTCCGCAATTACACGTACGACATGTTCCCGAACAATTAACTAATCAACAAGACCCATGTCAACTTCCAAAGTCAGAGTTTCTTGGAGAGTCAAACAAAAATAAGAAATGGCAACTCAAGCAAAGTAAAGGCAAGTCGAGGAGAATCTTTATTTAATTGTCCCCCCCCCCCCCCCCCCTTCATTGTTTTAATCTGTTTGAATTATCTTTCATCTCTTAACTCTAGAGTCGAATTAATGATATGACGAGGGTGTAATTGTGAAAAGTATTATCAACAAACTTCCATAACCAACTATAATATTTTTTGTCATTATCTGTAAATTTAAAAATTAGTTACAGAGTCGAGGAAGACGGCCTCTGTCTTCCTACAAGCAGACAGCTCACGAGCAGACAGTAATTATTTGGTAATACAATTACAAATAAAAAACATTAAATTTCGCCGCGAAGGGCGAATTTATTTCTCGCTTGTACGCAGACACAGGTGAGACTTACTTGACAAGTCATCAGTTCCTCAAACAACAATAATATTGGCATTTAGTAACCCCTTAAACTTGCGTTATCTTGCGGGCGCAAATAGGGAAAATCTTTTAAGAACAGTATCTATATTTAACCAAGAGCGTTTTCCAAACTCAAGTAATGTTGAAGCTCATTATTCTACTTATAGTGTATAATATCTCGTTGGGGGGTTATAGTCTCTCCAACGACTCAAGTCCATTACATCCAGCGGTCGACCAGACCACACACTAGAAGGTGAAGGGTGGTCTGGTCAACATAATTTAGCCACGTTATTGTGACTCATCGCCTGCATCCAGCGGTCGACCCCACAGACGCATTCATAAATTTGTATATGCTGATCATTCAAAACGGGAATTTTCTCAAATATAAATTAATATTATAATGTATTAGCATATTGGGCATATATAGGCATAGGTTATGTTAGGTCTTTAGGTTCTGTTGGCGATTATTTGAATTTGTATACGTGTAGCGCAGTTACTCCTAAACGGCACTGCCGATTTTGCTGAAAATTAAATACTTTAATAACATATTTTTAGTCACAGATTAAACCATAACTCACATAATACACTTTACCCGGAGTAAACGCTGTAAACTTTTCTCTGCATTTCTTAGCTGCTTTTGCAAAAACTGTGCTAAAATTTGGCATTAACATAAATATTAAATAACTTTTGAAACTACTTAGGACACCGTCAGATTGGCCACGACAATAAACAATGTGTTTTTTTGTTTAAAGAAATATACAATACATGTTAGTATTTGTATATATTTATTAAGACAAAACATACGACCTCTCCCAGTACTTGACGAGTTAGCGTGGAGGGTCCGGTAGTTGTCGGTAGATGGCGGGCGCGCTGTTTTGTTTACATTTTTCAAGGCTTGGAAACGGGTCGTTAGTGAGCTGTCACCCGTTAGTTTGGGAGGCTCGTCCCATTGTTGATGTGTTTGTGTTATAACCTATCGGCCGTCAACTCGCGCTACCGCTACCACTGATAATTATAAAGGATTACTTTACAAGCTCCGACAACATCACTTTATTCTAGCATTTATCAGGTAACGTATCAGCCAGTTCTCTCAGTTTGCAACTGCTTTTGGATAGCCTGAAGCGTAAAGAATGCAACTGTTTTTGTCTAACCTGAAACGTACAAACCCTAACAACCCACCTAACATATAGAGGTCGATGCACAGACAACGTCTATATTACGGAGTTTTTAAAGTAATTAATTACCACATTTGCTTCCTTAGAATTTCC